TTCTTTCTTTCTTTCTTTCTTTCTTTCTTTCTTTCTTTCTTTTTCTTTCTTTCTTTCTTTCTCTCTTTCTTTCTCTCTCTCTCTTTCCTTCCTTCCTTCCTTCCTTCCTTCCTTCCTTCCTTCCTTCCTTCCTTCCTTCTCTCTCTCTCTTTCTTTCTCTCTTTCTCTCTTTCTTTCTTCCTTCTTTTTCTTTCTTTCCTCTCTCTCTCATTCTTTCTCTTTCTCATTCTTTCTCTTTCTCTCTCTCTCTTTCTTTCTTGATGGAGTCTCGCTCTGTCACCAGGCTGGAGTGCAGTGGCATGATCTCAGCTCACTGCAACCTCCATCTCATGGTTTCAAAGCAATTCTCCTGCCTCAGCTTCCCGAGTAGCTGGGATTACAGGCACGTACCACCAGGCCTGGCTAACTTTTGCATTTTTACTAGAGACAGGTTTTTACCATGTTGATGGTCTAAATCTCTTGATTTCATGATCACCAACCTTGACCTCACAAAGTGCAGGGATTACAGGCATGAACCACTGTGTCCAGCAAAGACAACTTTCTAAACAAATTGTTTCCAGGGCAAGATTTTAACTGTGCTTTGAGTCGCTAGCAACGGCACATGTTTTATTCGTTTGTATTGATTATGTGGGCTACTGTAGTAGTTTCCTAGGACTACCATAGCAAACATCCACACTGTGTGGCTAAAATCACAGAAATCTACTTTCTCACGGTTCTGGAAGCTGGAATTCCCAAATCAAGGTGTTGTCAGGTCTTGTTCCTTCTGGAGGCTCAGAAGAAAAATCAGTTTCATGCCTCTCTCCTGGCACTTGCTGGCAATCCTTAAAGTTCCTTCACAGGTGCATCACTCCAGTTTTTTCCTATTTTTACAAGAACATGGCATGACATTCTTCCCTGTGCATTTGTGTCTCTGCATCCAAATTTCCTTCTTAATAAGAACACTAGTCATATGTGACTTAGGGCCTACCTTAACCACGTATGACCTTATCTTAATTTGATTACTTCTGCAGATACCCTATTTCCAAATAAGGTCTCATTCATAGGTCCTGTTCGACATGAATTTCTGGGAGACATGATTCAACTCAATATAGCCATCAAAAACTTTTAAATAATTTCATTTTCTATTCACGTTATCCAGAATCTTGTTCTGTTATTTTCAACCATGAATCTTGATGAATACAGGTATTCTTTGCAGGCCTGGGTTGGTTAGGAAATGATGTATTCCCGGACAAAGTTACAAATGACATGTGGCTTCAATAACAAGTATAAATTAACCAGAAAACAATAGAATAAAGAGATGGCTGATATACAAAGGCGCACAAGCTGAGGGATAGCAAGAATTCCTCTAGATCTTCAGTAACTTAGTGTGTATGGAGGGTTTGGGGAACCGGGAGCTGAGACTGGGGAGTTTGTAGATAAGGGGCTAAACAGGTATAAAGGAGATGGGCAAGGACTATATCATCAGTCTGAATGTTATCTACAGGCAGCAGAAGCCCCTGATGGTTTTTGCATAAGAGTAACATAAATAGATCTATATTTTGGAAAGATCTTTCAAGCAGCAGTAAGAAGCCTGATATGGAGGCATAATAAAGAGAGTTTCAATAAGAAGGGTGGTGTAGTCTAGTAAACAGTATGAACTAAAGTCACGGTAGAGTGGATGGCAATTTAGGGGCAGATTGTGTCTCATATCCATGGGACTGATGACCATCTAGATGTGGGAAGTGAGAGAGAGAAAGAAAATAGGGATGACTTCAAGGATGGATGGTTGTGTCCTTCTTTTCTAAGATATTAATCTATTAACTATCTATTAAGCATCACATTAACCTTTGTTAGCCGTTTTGAAAATTAACCACTCCTCAAACTTGGCCCTACTGGCATTTTGTACCTGCAAATTCTTTGTTGTGTCTGTGTGAAGGAGTGTCCTGTAAATTGTAGAATGTGTAGCAGCATGCCAGGATCTACGATTGAATGCCAGTAGTGCCCCTGTGACACCAAATATGATCAACAATGTCTCCACAGTTTGCCAAATATCTCTTGGGGCAAAATCACCTCTGTTTGAAAATCACTGGGTTAACAGTAGGTGGAATAGGTTTGGGGTGGAGGGAAACAAATCTAATTTTATAACTTCTAAATACACTATGCAGCTGGAAGTAGAAACCTGGAGCTCGCAGAAAAGATCTGGGCTGTAGGCATAGATTCGAGAATGCCAGGTCTACGTGTAATACTGAGACTTAGGTAAGGCAAGATTACCCAAAAGATCGAAGAAGAACAAAAGACCAGGAACAGGCACTTAGGATCCCTACCATTCAGAGCTGATGTTGGAGGATACTGAACTCCTCAAAAAGACCAAGAAGTACAGCCTGAGAGTCTTCTTTCTCTTCTTCCTCTGTGCCTCTTAACAAATGCACATTTATACAACCCTTCCAATCACATTTATTAAACTATGGAAAGGGTGGAAATAAAGAAATGGTTTTGGAACCCGAAGCCAAGATTTAGGGTACTTGAAGAGTTTGGTAGGTGGCTGTGGAAGAGGGGTTATATCTCACAAGTAACTTAGTTACGATATCTTTAAAAATTTTTTTTAGTATCTTCACTCTACAAAGAGCATTAGAAGAAAATCTGTAAGAGGCTGTCTTTAAATTTTTAGTAGTATATTCGTATCTTCTGGGCAAATTGTGTGTAATACTGCTGAAAGCTAAAACTTCTAATACACTTAAGAGTTGTTATATTTTTAATTTTTAAGGCAAATGTTTGAAAAGTAATGAAAATATCCTACAGAAATAAACTGCTAATAGATGCAAACAAAAATTTGCCTTAGAAACTAAGACCACTAAATGACTTCACAAAAATTAACTTTTATTAACATTGTGAGTAAAAAGCACTATTTCTCATTGTCTGAATGAAGCTTTTATTTCATCATCCTTTTAAAATCACACGAGTCCTGCATGAATGTGTTATTGTTGTAAAAGATTCAAACCACACAGACATATTTAGAAAAAAACATGAATGTCCCCCTTCTCCCATCTGCCATTCCTCCTATCGTTCCCCCCTTTCCACAGATGCAACAATTCTCAGCTGTTTGGTGTTCAACCATCCAGTCCCCCAGGCTAGGCATGGAGCTCACACCAGAAAATGTGAAGCATTCTTTGTTCTTCAACTTGCTTTTTCCCCTTTCCAGATCTTGAGGGTATGAAAGAATCTTTAGCACCACATAAACAAAAAAAAGGGTTTTTTTTTTTTCCCCATAATGATAGGATGAGCTAATATAATTAAATTAATCCAACATTTATCACAGAGAATCATAATGACTACATTACTGATCATTCAGCCAGCTGACATAAAGTCTTTGGAACCCATCTACAGGATGAATTCAGTGAGAAAAATGTTGAATTTTAAGTCTCAATATTTAGATTTCATAGCTGTGGAGACAAAATACTGTCCTTCATCTCACAGAAACACTACAGTGACAATATCCTGTTTTGCTAAAATAATCTCTTCATTGTGTGTCAGACATGTTTAGAGGTAACATAACATAATCGCCTGAAAAGAAAATCTGAGAAGCAAGGGGAAATAATCATTTTCTTTGTAGCAAAAGATACAGAGCTGATTTCTTACTCTTGTTATTTCTGTGCCTGGCCCTCAGGAGAAAAGGACCAAGAATACTTTCTAGCGAGGAATTAACTTGGCTGAGGTAGAGACTACATCCTTGACTGGATAATTTCTGTATTTGCTCTGTAATTCCAGTTCAACCCTTACATAATATGTGATGCAAACGAGGGTATCTGCAATGAAGCTAACACTTAAGTAATCTTCTGGGGGAGTTTTCTCCAAGAACATTAAAATTAAGCCTATATGCCCGGGTGCCGTGGCTCACATGTATAATCCCAGCATTTTGGGAGGCTGAGGCAGGAGGATCACTCAAGTGCAGCAGTTCTAGTCCAGCCTGGAAAACACAGTGGGATCCCATAGCTACAGAAATAAAAAATTATCCAGGCATGGTAGTGTGTGTCTGTGGTCACAGCTACTCTGTGGAGCTGAGATGAGAGGATCACTTGAGTCAGGAAGGTCAAGGCCCTAGCCTGGGTGACAGAGTGAGAACCTGTCTTAAACTAAACCAAACTAAAGATAAGATCAAATCAAATCAAATAAAAATAAAATCAAGCATTTTTTTCACCACTGATTTCATCTCCAAGCAAATGCTATCTTGATGCCATGTTCATATATTTATACAAATGTGGAGTGCTTTCATATCATCACAGAAAATTGATCTGTTTATTCCACATGGAGTGATTCTTTCCTAAATTATACTAACAACGTCTATTTTGTTCTTCACTGTCATTTATTACATAAATCCTGCCAATAAATTTGCTGCTTCCTTCTGAATAAATTCCCTCTCTGCTATCATTTTCATTTTATAGCTAGTCAAATCTTTCATCTGGACTCTATTACTCACCTCCTTGGACATTAAACTCCTCTTTTTCAATGAAGTAAGCTGCTCTTAGTGTCTTTTCCCCAGGTTAGTGCTGAATACTCACCTCAAAGTCTCAACAGGAAGAGGACTGGCTGGGGATTAAAAAGTCCTGGGTCAGAGTTCTAGTTCTACTCTCACTTTCTGTGTTGCTTTTGGGCAAGCCATTTTTCTGCTTGAGTTTGTTTCCTCATCTACAAAAATTAGGGAGAGCACTATCTGCACCACTTGGATTCTTGTGATTGAGGATTCAAAGAGAGACAGGTCTTTGTGAAAGACCTTTGTAAAGCAGACACATTACACAAGTGAGAATTATTAAAGTGCCAGATACAGCCTGGCCACACAGAAAATGCTTTAAAATGTTAGTTGAGTTAATAGCTCCCACTCATTCTTTGCCTCTATTACGTGCCTCACATGGGAAGGGAGACAAGAGTTGGAGTGAACTTCCTGGGTTGTAACTGTGTTCCTATCCCTTTCTCCCACTTCCCTCATCTTTAAGACCAACCAGTACATGCAGATGGGTCTGCAGTGATTATGTCTGAATCTTGAGACTCTGCCACTTTGGGCAGAGTTGATTGATTCATAAGGGAGACACCTTTCCCCACCTGAGCCTGAGCCAAACAGGGCTTCTGGTGTGGCTCTTTGATCATTGAAAGGGAAAACAAATTCTCCATGTTCTTGAAGCAGGGTCTATTAATGACAGTGCTTTACAGAAAAGCGTCTCAAATTGCTGCTGCTAACATTCTCGGCTTCTTTGATTTACTCGGCTTCCCAGACCTATCGTTAAGTACCTCCTCAGATTTTGTGAGATAAATAAATAAATAATACTCACTTTCTAGGACTTTATGGTATGTTTACAACATTGCTTGCGATTCAGTAAGCATTTGGTAAGTATCAGCTATTGTTATTAAATGACTTTGAATAATCCCTAGCATATATAATGAGTGTTCAGTAATGCTAGTGATTATTCCTGGTACTCAACTTACATAGCTGTTACAAGGAATAAAATAGTTAATGTATGTAATTCACTTAATATAGTGCCAAGCATGTAGTAAGTACTTAATATTTGTTTGCTATTATTTATATCATATGAATGCTATAACAAATGATACAGTATTTGTATTGTTTTGACAAAAATTTTTCCCACATGTTTTAAATATTTCCACTCTAGTACATGGAGAAATAGTTCATCTTCTAGAAACGCTAAATGCTATTAGTTTTCTTTTTATTGATGGACATTTAGGTAGGTTTAATTTTTCAAAAAGCTGCAACAAATCCCTTTATAATCTGACCTTGTGCATGTATTTATGTCTTTTTATAGAGTAGAGAGCCAAAATTACAGTAGTTAATCCATAAGGCACATTTAATATTAATAGGAAAAACTGCCGATTCAAGGAGCTGTGCCTATTAACTATTACAGCTACATGCTTCTCTATTATCTTACTAACATGTCAGGTTACCGAAGTTTGAAATATCTGCCAGTAGACTGAGTTACAAGCTCATTACCTTAATTTGCATTTCCCTAATTACTACTGAGAAACATTTTTCATGCATTTATTGACAATACACATTTTCTCTTTTGTGAACTGCCTGTTTTCTATTTTCTTATTTAGTATCTGATTTAGACTTTTTTCCTTCCAGGCATAATGGAGGATTCCTTGAGAATTCTGTTGAATGTGTCACCCTTTTTCCTAGATCCACCACTTCCAGTAATAAGAGAGTGAAAATGAATGATTTTAGAATAATATTTCAAATTAGAATGATAATGAGCTCCTAATTATTAATTGTAAGCAGCACTATTAAAAGTGAGGTCAACAGCATCATCCTCACTGAGTTGTTTTTAGATAAGTGCACCAATTCTCAGGCCCTCCAGACCACTTCATCAGAAACACTACGGGTGGGTTCCGCAAGCTGTGCTTTAGTTTAACAAGCCCCCTAGGTGATCGGGAAACACGAAACTGGACCACTCGAAGAAAACATTAGTGATCCTAAAAATATATTAAGATTATGATTACATTTGTCTTCCAATATTGTTTAATAGACTCCACATTTTAAAATTATATCAATACATACAACTTGGATGAGTCTCAAGAGAATTATTACAAGTGAACAAAGCCATTCTCATACATAATGTATGATTCCATTTGCATTACATTCTTGAAATGACAAAATTAAAAAGGGCGAAGCATGGTGGGGGCGTGAAGGTGAATGTGGTAATAAAAGGGCACAATGAGGAATCCCTATGCTGATGGAGCTGTTCTGTTTCTTAACTGTGGTGTTAAATACACAGATCCACACATGTGATCGAATTACATAGAACTGAATACACACACGCAAGCAAGTACAAGTTAAACTGGGGAAATCTATATAAATCAATCAATTGCACTGATATCAATATTCTTTTTGTGATATACTATAGTTCTGTATTATTGTTTTTCATTGGGGAGAATTGTGTAAAGTTTACAGGGAACCTCTCTGTTTTATTTCTTAAAACCAGAAGTGAATCTACAATTGTCTCAAAATGAAAAGTTCAATTACATAATGACAATAACAACAAAAATTTTATTAGGTTTATTGTCATCAATTTCCACAAATATTGATAGGAAACTGGGAAAATGGTTCATGGTCATTTGCACTCTGAATTTGGCAAAATGTTTCAATTCTCTTAGTTATAAGTTAAGAAAGTAATAAACAGGCTAGATCAAGGGCATTTTAACTTCCTATTAAAAATAAAGAAAAAAAGACCATGTTTAGAAATAGCTGTAATTCTCTTCAAAGAGTATTGTCTCCCATATCTCAGTTTTACATATGATGTATTAACTATTTCTAGATAATAATAAGACAGCAGTAAAATACAGACATGCTTAAAGATGAAAGTCATAGCTTATATTTTAATTTTTAAATTTTGGAACTGAGTCCATTTTTATTTGAATGATAATCCTTTTTGGGAAAGTAAAATCATTACTAGGAAACATTAGAGTGCAATTTCTGCAGAACAGTTGCTTAAAGAACTGTGGGAACTCCTAACTATAGATGAGATTGTAGTTTTCAAATACTTACAAAATAGAGTTGCTCAGCAATACCAAATAACCAAACATTTGCACAATTAATTAAAGATTCTCAGAGGGAGAATGTTTCTAGATCTTTGATAAACAATTGCAATTTTTACATTCTGACACAATTTCTCATATAACCAACCTGCCAATTGGCAACTCCAGGCTGCCAGTTTTGTTTCTTTTTTCTCCCCAGAGATCACCTGGAAGCAGCTTTTACGTTGTACCTATATCAAACCATTTATTTTGGCCTCTTTTTGGAGGCTTAATCTTCTGGGCTTTATTGATTTTGACTTCCTGGATGACAATTTCAGATGTTAACTGAATAATTATTTGAGGCTTGGAGGATATATTTTTATACAAACCTTTCTTCTGGGAACTATTAAAGCCAATAAAAATTGGAGGGTGAAAGAAAGATGGAGTTGTTTATATTTTAATTCTAATCTTCTTTTTCTTTATTTGGTTGACTTATTTGTGGATTTACCAGGGTAGGTTTCAATCCATTCAATATCCTCTTTCACCTGGGAATTAAAACCTACCGCAAAAATTGGCCAGGACTTTTAGTGGAATTTATCACGTTTAGAATCCATAAACTACAGTTATTAATTCCAAAAATAGTTTAGTAATTTTTACAAATTAAAATTATTTGCACATATGAGTATTCAACATATGACATATTATTATAAACAACTTGTTTCTACTCATCTATTCATGTCTCCTAGTATCCTATGGGGTAGGAGCAGAGTATTGCCTTAGAGATGGATATTTAGTGAATATAGCATGGAAACTGGAACAATATATGAGCTGATAGTTTTGCTTTGAGATAAACTTCTCTGTTGGATTCTATTCTCAGAAAACTTCTGGAAACATGTCTATGTAGTGTGTAGTTTGAGGGAGACTGTACTGCAGTAGTTAAGCAATAAGAAAATTCCATATTCTAAAAATTTGAGACCAACTTTTACTTATAAGTCTTTATGTTTTTTTTTTACTTCATTTTGATAATCTCTTTATTTTTCAGAAGCATGAATATTTCTAACATGAGTTTTGAGCTCCTTTTAAGATCAGGGGGAGAGAAGCGGTCTTTTATGATTTCTGTGTACTGAGTCATAACATACCAAGTTGCTGGTGCCAGAAACACACACTAGACTTACTCCCCTTAAACAGCCTCTCCAAACAAATCAATGAAAGGCTCCTAGGACTATAATTTATGGTGCCCCATACATTGATAAGAAAAATGCTGGACTGAGTTCAGAAACAAGGGTCAAATGATGACAACAAGAGCAAACAATTTCGAATTGTAATTGCAGCTGACTACAAAGTTGCTGGTAGAAAATACAAATCAGAGAGAACTACACAGTCGTAACTAAGCCAGGCTTTCTTTTATTTAATTACTTATTTAAAAAGACAACACTTCACACCTGGGAAAAGGCTAAAGTGTTTGCATCTTCTTCATAAAATATACAGTTACAAAAACTGAGAAAGAGCTCCTTTTTGTCATGTATTTTCCAGGGGTAATGAGACTCAACTATTTGAGCTTATTGAAAGCACCAAATAGTTTTAGTCAAGGATAGAGCATTCCTATGACGTGTAGTTACTGCTGTTAGCCTTCGCTGGGCTTGAGCTGTCACATAGCAATGCTGTACAGTTTCATTCTCTCATTAATGCAATCTTTCTAGATATCACTGTGCCAGTTCATTGCTCGCCATTATCTGTTACCATTTATATTCCTCTTCATTTTTAACTATTGTAGTCTTTAGGATTATTTAACAAAATTAAGGTAACAAATTGAAAGGGAAAAAGATAATGTCTCAAGTCTTACTTGCTTAGGAAGAGACTGAGTTTTAGTAGATTCGCTAGTTAACAGAAAAATCCCAAATATGTAAAAAAAAAAACAAAAAACCTCCAGCATTACTAGACTATAAGTTGAAATAGAAAAATAACGTATCTATATCTTTTTGAATTAAAAAGAAAGTAGCTATTATATGTCCTGTTTCTTCTTCTGTCCAGTTCATAACAGTTGAATCACACTCCACTCAGTAAGGGAAGCTTTTTGCCCTACTTCAGGCAGAATTTTCACAGGCCTTTCTCTTATCTAAGCCTCTCTATGAACCTTTCCTCTATTTCTGTTACTTTATCTAATTTGGGAGATAAGCAGGATCAAAAACAAACAAAAAGAGCTGCCAAAGAAATAATAGAGACTTTTGTTTCTTTTCTGAATTGGAACCTTCCTACCTGCTAATGTAGTTTAAATTAAAAAGCAGTGAGTCACCCTTTTCTATTATTTGCATGAATCCACACCTGTTGTCCACCTTTGCAGAAAAGGTCGCGAGTGATGACTCATGCTGCCTTCCCCACTTCAAGGACTTTCCTGCTGTCCGTGCTCATCAATAGCATCCATATAATTTATTTTACATGTCAGTTTCCTCAGTCTAGGTCCTAGAAATCAGTAGACCTGTGCCGCCTCTGAGTAGGGATCTTCTTATTTGATTTAAACTCCCCTGAGTAATTCAGGCATGTGATGCTAACCCCAAGTACCCTAGAAAAAGCCTTGCAATTCAGTATGTGTAAAGCAGATTTGTTAGCAATTGAAAAGGCAATGGCATACAGTATCCCTCATTCTTTGTAAAGAGAAAATTTGAATTTATTCTATTATTTGAGAGAAGTTAGATATTGTGAAAAAATTTACATTTAGGATGATGACAATAGTTATCATGTACTATATGGCCATTACTGTGTAAATGATTTAATTCACTATCATATTTGACCCTCACCCAAAGACATAGGTGCTACAATCTCCTTTTTTTGAAAGAAAAAAACTGAGGTTTGGGGAGATTAAACGGTTTATCGTCACATAGCTAATAAGAACCAGAGGTGTAATTTGAATCAAAGGCTTTTCTTCTCCAAAGTCTGTGTCCTTTTTTACTTTACTATACTACTTCAGAAAAGAAGAATCATACTAATTCTGAATCTGCTTAACTGAATTTGTCATCGTTTAGTCAGGCAGAACTAGCATTTATTCACCCTTGTACTCTGAGGCTGAATTTATTAATTCAACAAATACTTACTGAATGAGGTTTATGTACCAAAGTGATTTTCCTCCTAAGTTCTTCAAATATTCATCAATGTTAGGAATATAGATACCTCTTTCAAGACATAATACTCATTTCCCAAGCCAAAAATCAAAGACAGTGGTTTAATCTATTATCAGTTGTTGGAACACTTAACCCATTAGAAGTCTTTAATACATTCTGTTTCTTCTTTCAGGCTTAAGTGTGAATCTGAAATATTATACATCTTTTTGAAGCAGACTCTTTAAAGAATCACATTCCGAGTTCTCAACACAAGATAATTAAAGCGATCACCATTGAAAATTTTAAAACTTAACAAAACACTTAGATTTCATGATAGTTATGTTACAGCACATTTAAGTTACATGCCCTATAACCCTAGCTAAATTAAAAGTCATTTTTTTCTCCATTTTGATAGAATTAAACTGCTTTTGAATCTTTCCATGAAGATCAGCTAATCTTGATACAGGTTTCCTTAATCTCTGAAATATGATGAGTGATATTTATGAGAAGAATTGGAAGAAGACTAAGTAAATTTAATAACACAAAGAAAGAAGGAAAAAAGTAATGGCCAAAGGAAGTAAAATAAATTTTTAAAGGCAGGGAAAAGTGAAGAAGATGCAAAGTAAGGGTTGAATTCTAAGGTCATGGAACATCAGGGGCAGCAGCTTACAAAGAATCCTTTTTTGCCTCTCTTAGCATGATCTTGTATATATATTGAAAATTGAAGTTTATCAGTGAAAACCTCATTTTTGCTAGTCTTTTGCATGTCTCACATAAAGGAGGTGTGGCTTATGGCTACTTGATAACACTGTTAATAATATAGGGTATCCTGCTAAGGAGCTCTCATAGGGCCTTGCTCTCCCTAAGGTACTCCTGAGCCATCAAGAGAATGGAATAGGTGTTAAGACAAAACACCTCTCTGCTCTCTGCCGATCTCAATGCAATAATTCACTTATTCATTTCCTTATTCATAGTTGTTCATTCCTTTAAGAAAATATATACTGAAAACTAAAGACAATGTACTGGGCTCTACAAAACAATTTTTAAAAAGCACACACAGGATCTCCCCTAAATACTTCCACATTAAATACCTTCTCTGAGTGTTCTACGGGACCGTTGACCTCAACAAATGTGAAACTTAAGTTCGCTATGCTCTTCCCACCATGCCCTGTCACTAATCACCCAGTATTTCCACCTCTACCAAATCTGTTCTTCCATTAATAGGTCATGTTTTTGTTACTGGTAAAAAACATCCCCTTTGTCATCCAAGTTCTTTTCTGTCTTTTGGCCTCTTCTACTTCTCTAATCAGTCATTAGGTAACTTCGATTCTGCTCCTGATTCTATCTCCTTCTCTCCACCCTCTTATCATCTCTCATTTGACTTAACTGAGATAAGCTCCCATCCAACTTTTCCTCCAGTGCCTCTTTTTCCTCCCTTTATGTACTTGGTAGTCTGAACGATGCCCCTAAAATTCAAATTGCATTGTATCACTTTCTTGCTAAAAATCTTACTCCTCCTGACAAAACAAGAAATAACATCTCTTAAAATTGTAGAGAAATACCTTCACATCTATTTTATTTACATATTTATCTACCTCTCTAATATTTTTAACTTTTAGCATTCTTTTCCATGAATGCTTGGCTTGCATTATGTTGTAATTTTCTTGAAATATATGTTAGAAGTCATATTTTTAGTACTTTATGGGAAGTAGAAAACTATTAAATTTATTTTAGTAAGTCAGAGGCAAGACCAGGATGTGATTCACAGGGATGAATATAGTAGCAATTTGAAAAATGGACCAGAGAACGCGGAAGCTAGAAACTGAAGGAACGGGTTGCAGTAGGTGGTTACTGCAGTGTTGTTGAAGATACGAGCCGGGGCAGGAAAGGAGATACAGTGAGACGACATGCATGAGGTAAGGTTATGTATGAACTCACCTGAGCTGTTATGATTCATATTATCAGCCTGATTGCGTGGCATGACACTCACAATGGAAAATGGAAGGGGCAGAAAGAGTCGAGAATCTTTCAGACTTTTCTTATAAGTCAATGTGAGGAGATTAGTAGAGAAGTGATATACAGAAACCACTATTGAAATAACTAAGAATAACCTGCACTTAACATAGGCATATATAAAATGATATTTCTAAGATATTAGCATATCTTGTGGTCACCAAATATTTCAGCCATTTCTTGATTTAATTTTACGGTATGAATTTGTCAGCAAACATTTTTTACAATTTTTAGGAATGAGCCAATTGTAAAGAGTTTTACTTCTTTCTAATTTGAAGCCTTATTTTATGCTGAACACTGTATACAGCCCTGTGGAAATAAATAAACACAAGATAATCCCTACACTCAAAGGAAATTACAAACTCGTTGAGGGTTTTTAACAAGCAAAAGAGAAATCTAAAAGTTAGTCAATTAGGTAGAAAATTTAGGCCCCGAAACACTTTCCCCTTACAGGCATATAACCAAAGCATGAAAAAAGGGATATTTATTTCGTCTCGCTTAATTTATTGGTTACCTACTAGAGCTAGAGGCCCCAAAACACTAAACAAAAAGAAAGTATTCATGGGAAATATTCAACATGCAAAACATGCCTGCCAAGAAACCAAACAACCCACACACAGCCAATAAAATTGAAGACTCTTACTTCATACTCTAAATGCCTCCAGACTGAAACTGTGTCAGGGGGAGAACATTTCACAGCTGTAGAACTTCTTTGTAGAGAGATTTTTCTGCCGGTCTCAAAATTCTGTAACACAAATCATTACCTAGAGAAGCACACCAGAACTTCTTAAATAGTTAAGGGAATGTATAGGAATGTAGTTATTTTAAACTTGTAGGGAAGAGGATGCTCTCTTGAGCAAGCAACTACTTTGCAATTCTTAGCATTCTTAAAAGATCACCTTCAGCATTACAGCTAAGATTCGTGTATTCTAATTAGAAGACTTAAAATCCAGGATATGATCATATTAGAACCAAAGCAAGCACTTTGTCACATTTAGCTTTACACTCTTTAGTTTAAACCACTGTCATTTAAAATAAGAATAATTTTGTGTTCTTTCTATAAAAATGTAGATGTGGGACACTTTCCAATCCTGCAATAAAGCAAAATTTGTGCAAAAAATGCAAATTTTTAAAGTTTTTGTTGCCTTCTAACACACAGCATAATCAAAATCATCATTCACTGACTTGAAGATAGGTTACTCATGTCATTTAATACAATTTTTACAGCAGTTTATTTTTCTCTTTGTTCTTTATTTCCACTCCTTATGCTTAGAAGTGATTATTACGTGTTTCTTACCTTTCTCTAATGTTTAATATGCTATCCCAGGCAGACATAATGAAAGAGCAGTATGGAATAAAAAAGTGTTTATTAAGAAATGCATTTCTATAAAAAGTAATAGAAAATTTAGAGAAGAGGCATATGCATATTGAAATTGCCAAAATGAAATTTTGCTGCTGTGTAAAAAGGATCATAAAATGTGTCCTAGGTGCCCTTGAGGATGTGTTGATCATAGTGACTTGTATCTAATCAATAATATAGAAGATTGGGGGACTTTATCATGGACAAACATGGCAGACAGCACCTTAAACAAGTGATAAAAGTAGTATTTCCAGTAATAATTCATGCTTATATTGTGTTACTCTTGACATGGTATGTGAAGGTCGCCTTACCTTTGTGGGATTCGTCCCCAAATCTACTTCTTCAGCCTAATCATTTGAAAAACGGCATGTAAGGCTGAACTAATGGATGTTATACAAAATGTCTGACCACTACTCCTCAAAACTGCCAAGACCTTGAAAAACAAAAAAAGTCTGAGGAACCATCACAGATTAGCACATCCTGGACCGCATCCTGGAACAGAAAAAGGACATTAGTGGAAAAACTAGTGGAAGCTGAATAAAATTTGTAGTTTAGTTAATAGTAATGTACCTATGTTATTTTTAGTTTTGACAAATGTACTATGGTTATGTAAGATGTTAACTTAAAAGAAAATTAAGTAAAATATGTATAGAAATTGTACTATCTTTGCAAGCTTTATGCAAATTCAAAATTATCTTAAAATTAAAAAAATTATTATATACCCCCCACCCTCTTAATCAGGACTTAATTACAATTTTAAAAAAGGATAAAGTAGCTCCACTAAAGAATGGGTATCTTCTTTTCATGGACAAATAAAACATAGTGTTTTACTGGTTTCTTGATATTTAAATCTGAGCTTGATGTCAGAGCACCTTTGAGATTTTAGTTGCATTAGAAATTTAAGCAACCCAAGTAAGACTTTTAGATTTACCTTTATGTATGCAGAAAAACAACGGTATGTAATTCATGAAAGTAATATTACTCAGTTTTCCTTCCATTTGTTATTTATTGACTACTAGCAAGGTATAAGGAACACGAAAGCATTAGATTCACACATGGAGCAAACTGATACACAGAAAATTTATTATCAGGACTGAAACCAAAGTATAACCCTTCTGACTACCGAGCTATAATTCTAGCACACCTTGGAGCCTGCTAGACCAATCCCTTAATTCCATGGGGGTGTGTAATATATTGAGTGGAGAAACCATCGTCTTTCTCATTGGAATTCTGAGGAGGCAGCGAAGGGACAATATTAGGTTTCTGGGACAGCATTAGAAACCTACCAAATGGTGAGAGATTGTGGGAATTTTTCTGTCATTATTTGTGGATCTAATCTGCTGCATCCTTGAGGGAGATTTTGATTATTCCTTTTATAACCCTATGTAGTTTCATTGCTGGCATCATCAGATTTGTGATTTAGAGATAATAAAAAACTACTTTCAGTGTTTTTAAGGTTGATGTAGTAGACGGACTTTGAGATGACCCTAATGTTTCCCCATCTCTAATCCTCTTGTGTAGTTCCCAGGCAATTATTGTGGACTTGACTTAGTGACTCCCTTTCAAGGTGAATAGAGTACAGCAGAAGCAATGGATGTCACCTCCTAGATTGAGTTGTAAGAGGTTACACTTTTCCTCTTGCAGGTGCTTAGGTTTTTTCATTCTGTCTGGAATCACTTACAGCTTAGGAAAAGCCAGGTCCAAATAAAAAGGAGTTCTGTGGAAAAATCCACAGGCCTGCAACAACTATGTAAGTGAACTTGAAAGTGGATCCTCACTAAACGCCCTTCCACCCAGTTCATCTGTGACTGCAGCCCATGAGAAACTGTAAGGCAGAGCCACCTAGCCACGTGATGCCTGAAACTGATCTGCTAAAACTGTGAGATAATAAATGTCTATTTTTAAGCTGCTAAATTTTGGGTAATACGTTATAAGCCACAGTAGCTTGCTAATAGAGTTGATACAAGGGAGGTGATTTTAATCACATACCCACATTTACTTGATGTTGAGGCTGTTATTATAGTTGTCTAATTTTTTTTTTTATAAAGAGTGATACAGGGAGAGTATAAATCACTTATTCTCTTATCCAATTTACCTTTTTGAGAGCTATGGTTTATATTTTTCTTGATATTCTCTCTGAAAGTATTTTGGGGAGCCCTAACTCTTTCATTTGTTTTTGCTGTACTTAAGTCCATCTTTATAGAACTTAAACTGAAAATAGAAATTGAGCCTCAGTTATAATCCATGATTATTAAAATGTTTAATGATATAAAAACATATCTTTATAACAGAAAACTTTTCTTGAAAAATGTAGAAAATTAACTGTCTTATATTCATTTAAAAATATTGCATGGCAACACATAGAAGTGTTTACATTTATAAGAATCACCAGACAAATACTTTATTATTGGCACAGTAACTCATGTAATGCTTTCAAAAGTGTCTGCTCCTTCTTTTTCTTCTTTCTATTATAATCAAATCATTTTTGCTTATATCTGAACATTTTTAATATTGTTTAATTATTTGCTCTTTCACATTCATATTTCTTGAATGTAAGGCCAAATCAAGTGTCCCATCACGACTTACGTCCTCTATACCTATATCATCTATATATATATGTACATGTACAAACTTACATGTTAATCTATGTATAAATATATACATGTTTGTGCAGTATGTATATCTGTTCATATGTATAATTCTTTAATTCTTCATTGCCTTTGTGTTTATAACACAGTAAAAATAACAAAGCAATCTCAATTTTCTTTTTTATTGTTGTGATTCTAAGATGGAGACAGTTTCCAGAGTATCTTCTGGAAACTTTCTCAAATAATACGTATTGAGTGTGGAAAAGGCAAGATATGTGAGTTTAAGCAAATTTTCCCAGATGATTCTGCTATTCAGTCTCACATGTAGGAATGTAGCTCTAAGGAAATTTTGTTTTCTCTTTGAAATAAGAGATTTTTATCAATTTGTTTTGTTGAATTTAAAAAAAATCATAGGAATTATTATGGAACAGTTATGATGGGACATACTAAAAATGTTATATATGGATTCTGCCTTTGAGTGACTCACAGTCTAGTGGAAGGGATCGAGAGAAAGATACTACCTACAGTTTGTGCTTTGTGTATGCAGCATGTTTCAGTGTATGGTCCAGAAAAAGTGATTCAACACTGCCTGCCCTAACAGTTGCCAGGAACAGTCAGATATGAACGTTTTCGTTCTTGTCATCACATATTCCCTAGAATACTATGATTTTTTTCATGTTTGCCTTTCATTTTGAGATGTTGACCATTATTAATTGTAATATAATCAACAGATACAGAAGCTGGGAGAGTTTAATGCAGAGGCATTATGATTATGATAAAAACAGATAATGAGCTCATCAGAAATGAGAAATGATTTGACTTAGGAAAAATTCAGAAGGACAAAGGACAAATCATACAAAATGTCAAATGTTATCTGTATAGTCAATTATAGGGAATGGTTATAAATGAAATTTTAAAAAATATTCACTATGGCTAGGAAGATCAGGATCAATGTGAAATGCCAATTGACTTAATGTTTTCTCAAGTGAAGGTAAGACTTTAAGAAGGTAGAGATGAAAGAACTGCTGGTGAATTTTTTTCTGAAAAACCAGGGTGATTCACAGGCTTCAGGCCAGTTTTCCCTTCTACACATCATCAAATTGTGTGGTGGTGCATGTGCATGCTAGCTGCTAAGGAAGAGACTTGCTGCATTCCTTATAAAGAGAGGCATTATCTGCATCGACCAATTTTCATATGGATAAACGTATGCTATTTAGTGGGAAAAAATGCCTAAAAATATATATAATCAACAAGATGAGTATGTCTTGTTATAAAGCTTCGAAGGACTCAAATGAGTACACATTCATTTTTCGAAGATGCAGATGAATTATGTGAGACAAAACCTTCTTTGTCATTCTAGGCTTCAGCACAAATGGGCTTCTAGAAGCCCTACTCTATGCATAGAAGATATGTATAAGTTTCAGAGAAATATTTATAGTTGAAAAGGAGAAATCCTTAGACTATCTTGTCACTGAGGGTAAAGCTTCCATGTCTTTTGGACTCCAGTGTAACACAGTGGTCCCTTCTTAACACTGTGGCCCAATTTCAGCTCCATAAGCCTCCCTTCCCACTGGCTGTGTGTATTCTTGTGACTACCCTCTGACCTGCTCTTGCTAAATTCTTTCTCTTATCTATAGTACTTCACCTCTTCTTCTAGGTTTGTTTTGTTTCCCAATTTCTTTAGTTGCAAATACCTTAACCATTTATTTAAAAACAATAGAATGTGTTTGACAAGCGTGGATGTAATGTTCTTTGTTCTCAGTGGGATCATAAAGCCCTCTGGATAAAAATGCACCTTGTATAGTTGAAGTCATAACTTCTACACGTCAGTAATGTTTGATAAAAAACACTAATTTCTCATAACATACAGTGAATGTTTTCCACATATGATCTAGATGGATATATGTAACAATTTGCTGTTTGTTTTATAAAAGATATATAGTAGTATGAATAAAATAATCTCAGTTAAGTTACAAGTTAGCTGTAGTTACATGTTTATTGTTTCTAAGAGTAGGAAACATGAAGAAAAAATGTAAAAGCCATAGAATAAGCCTTTGAACTTACAAACAGATGTGATACTGTTTAATCTCCAATGTACCCTGGAAAGATTGGGTGGACATTTACCATATTCCTCCTGAAGTTTCTAGCCCAAGTTGTAAAGGGCTGTGTAAACCTTCTACAATTTTGTCAGCAAAAAATGATTTTATCCGTTGTTAAAATTTAGTCAGTTTGAGGATGAATCAAAGCAGCTGTAATACAATGTAACTTTGCTTACTCTATGGTTGAAGTCAGGACACCTAGAAGGGTCTGTACTGTAATGTGAAAAAGTCTCATCCCTTGAAGCTTAACTATTACACGTATTTGTGATAATCAATGCGCATTTAAGTAATTTACACCCTAAAAATGATTTATATTAAATTGGCTAACCATTTTCAATGAACCAATTTTGAATCCTGCTAGGATTTTTAAAATGAATAATAAATAACCTAAGATTTGGTTTATAACCCTTATGGAGGAAACAGAGAGGGAAAAAGCAAGTCATGGTAGATGTTTGATAACTTTCATATTATACATTCCTACCATTCCTACATTCCCAAACTCTGTCTGGTGGACTCCAACTTCCTTGGTTTTCTTAACTTAGGGAGTCAGCTGCCTGTTTGTGAAGGAGTTCCTCCATTCTGTGCTGCCCATAGAAACGCTCTCAAGGCAGTAAGCTGGGCCAATTATAGGGTCTGTTTTGTTTTCCTTCTCTCAGGAATCACAGTTCTTCCTTGCCAACATTCAGTGACTTCAAAACTGTTGTTCCATGTATTTTGTCTGGTTTTTTTTTTTTTTTTTTTTTGGTTGATTTAGTTAGGAGGATATATCTTGTCCTTCTTATTTCATGTTGGTCAGAAGTGGACATCTTGTTTTGTTTTAATTAAATAGTTGGATTTCCCTGGTTTGCACTAGTTGTATAAGTCAGCTGCCATTATATTCCATTTTTTATTTTTGTGTTTGAAATGATTTAGGGGTTGAGGTTCACTTTCCTTTTTCATAGATATTCAGTTGTTCCAGCACCATTCATTAAAAAGACATTTATTTTCCTGTTGAATTTATTTGCTATCTTGGTTGAAAATCAATTGAGCATAAATATGTGGGTCTAGCTTTGTCATTATTCTGTTCCATTGACCTATTATCTCTTTATTTAGGTATTCTTTAGTTTTTTTCAGTATTATTTTAAAGTTTTTAAAGTAGAAGGCTTGGATGTATATTTTTAGATTTATTGCCAGATATTTGAGGGTTTTGATACTATAATAAATAATATTTAAAAAACTTTATTTGACAGTTGTCTGTTGTTACTATATAAAAGTACAGTTCACTTAGTTCTAGTCATAGATTAGATTACATAGCATTTTCTAAATAATCATGTTGTTAGTGAATAATAAAATATAATTTCTTCTTGTCTTATGGTTTTGTCTTTTATTTCTTTCTCATACACTTGGACAAGAATGGAGAATCTCTTTTTTTTTCTGAGATGGAGTCTCACTCTGTCGTCCAGGCTGGCCTGTAGTAGTACGATCTCAGCTCACTGCAACCTCCGCCTCCCGGGTTCAAGCAATTCTCCTGCCTTAGCCTCCTGAGTAGCTGGGACTACAGGCACACACTACCAGGCCTGCCATTCTTGAGATATGATAGGATATATGATCAATTCACTTGATTGTAAAGTGTTATTCTCTTTATTTATTGCTAGATTTGATATGCCATTTTGTTAAGAATTTGGGGTCTATGTTTATGCTTAATATTAGTCTAGAGTTTTTCTCTTCTTCTAATGATACTTGCTTTTGGTATCAGAAAAATACTAATGTTCTAAAACAAATTGGGAAATATTCCTTCCTCCGTTTTTTGGGAAAGAGTTTACATAGGACTTGTACTGTCTCTTTCTTAAATATGTGTTAATATTTGCCACTGAAGACTGGGCCTTGAGTGTTTACTGTGGAAAAGTTTTTAATCACAAATTTCATCTGTTTAGCAAATATAGATTCCCTTCATTTCTAAAAAAATTCCTTTGGGGGTTGGGCCGATAAATTGTGTCTTTTAAGGACTTTGTACATTTTATCTAAGATGTCAAGTGACTCTAAGAGGTCAAATGTATCTACTACGATCTTTAGTGTTAATTCTTGTTTTCCTGAGACAGTTTGTGCTTCTTCTTGGTTAATCCAGAGATTAGTCAATTTATTAATCTTTGTTTTTGAAAAAGAAACCTTAGATTTTTAAAATTTTCTCTGTTATTTGAATGTTTTTTATTTTTTATATTTGCACATTATGCCAATTTTAAATAATAACATGAAGCCAAAATATATATTTTACTTAAATTTCTATGACTGGCATATTTTTACATTTCAAATATAATTTTCAAAATAATTTGGGAATGTAGTCCCTTATGATATAGTTTGATCATTATTTGTATGTGTTTCATCATCAATTATTCTTTTTATTTCCTCTCTTTTACTTATTTGGGTTTAATTTAATCTTTTTTTCTCTAGATTTTTAAGTGAAACCTTATTTCATTGACTTCACAGTTTGAAGCTATAAATTGTCCTCAAAACACTATTTTTGCTGTATTTCACACATTTATATATGTTGTTTACATTTTTTCAGTTCAAATAATAATTCTTTTAGTTCAAATAATTTTCTAATTTTCATGTGCTTTTGATCATAGATTATTAAATGTATGTGGCTTAAGTTCCAAATATTTTGGAGCTTTTCCATATCTAGATTTGATTGATTGATTGACAGAGAGTCTTGCTATGTTGCCCAGGGTGGACTCAAACTCCTGGGCTCAAGTGATCCTTCTGTTTCAGCTCCCTGAATAGCTGGGACTACAGGCCCATGACACTGTGCCTAGGCATTATTATTTATTTCTAATTTAATGCTTGTGTGGCTGAAGAATATACTTTACATAATTTCAATCATTTTATTTATACTTGCGGCTTATTTCATGGCTCAGCATATCATCTCTTACCAATGTTCCATGTGCACTTGAAAATAATGTGTATTGAGTGTAATACTTAAGTTCTAATTTGTTCAAGTAGGTGGTTAGAATTTTTCAAGTCTCCTGATGTGTGCATATGCATTTAGGATTATTATGTCTTCTTGATGAGTTGATACTTTATCATTTTTTAGTATTCCTCTTTATCTTAACTTACCTTCTCTCTCTCTCTCAAAGTCTTCTTCACCTAATGGCAGTAAAGCTGTATCACATTTATTATACTTACTTATTGCATGTGTGCCTTTTTCTAAACCTTTACTTTTGACCCTTGACTTTTGTGTTTCTTGTAAAGAGGATTTATTGGGCCTTATTCTTTTCATCCAGTCTAACAATCTCTAATAATTGTTGTGGTTAGGTCACTT